TGATGTGAGTCAGCCTTTTCCCACATAAATATCATTAAGTTCAAGTACCGTTCCACCATGATCATTTGGAATGTGCTTGAGGCTGGCTGTCAGCAGCTACTGTCCGGACTTAGGCATCCCTGGCTATTTCCATTCAGTGCAAGTCATCAGAGTAAACTCAGGTAATGACAAAAAATGCACATAGTTAATTGTGTTGTGTTGTGCAACATGGACTCATGCGGTTATGCAAGGTATATAAACATACATTGTACATATAAATAATTCTCAATGCATTATGAATAAATAAAAAAAATAAATATATGTTTTGCATTTTTGTAGTTGGTAGATCATTTTGACTTGATCATTTTATAAGTAGCTGACATGCTGAAAAAGTGTGAGTACCCCTGATCTACAGCCTTGGAAACCCTGTGGGGCCGTTCTACTTTGTCCTATAGAATGACTATGAAATGAAATTGACTCCATGAGTCTTAGGCCAGTAGTCGTTAAACTACAGGAAACTCTTCTTTTTTTCCTCTGGCCACTTTTGGAAGAAGATAAATGAAAAATAATCTGGCATATATACATTTCTATACATGTCTCTTTTAAAACACTGCACTTTAAATGGCAAATGTGTTTTTCTCCGTGCTTGGCATACTTTAAATGTCACACGATTTCCTTTCCGACACTGGATGTACACCTTGACATTAGGATCTAGAAGGAGAAACTGAAGTGCAGGTGTGGAAGATACGTCAACTCTCATAGGATCAGCGTCCAGCTTAGCTAAAGGAGGATGGCCGAGACGGCTGATCCAAACACGGAGCCCACCCCAGTGCCCAGCGTAGTACCTGTTACAGCATTGAGTTTGGAGCCAGGTTTGGCATGGATGGCTATGGTGACACAACCTTGAGAATCAACTGTCACAGGACCTGAGGGAGGAAGTGGTCTCTCTGCTTCCTTGATTTGGCTTTTACCCTAAAACGACAACCACACTACAACCTTACAGGTCACAAAACGACAACCACCACACTACAACCTTACAGGTTATAAAACATCTCCCCACACCTTTAACCCGATCCTCTCACCACGCCCGTCATCTTTGCCCAAAGGCACACAGGCTGATTGGTTGTGTCCAGAAGCATCTGGTCTCACCAGGAGTTGGAATCAACTGGCTTGGCTTTGTTTGGGGTTTTCAATACTTTCTTCTGTGCTTCAGTGCTTAAAGCAATTCTTCCATGAAGCCCTCCCATCAGTCCCACAAAGTGCTTTTTCCGACCCTGAAAGACCTGCCTCTAGCTTCCACTTCGGAATACTTCGGAATTCTGGTTGCTCCCATCTGCTTTGTACTTCCCCTTCTTCAGGGACAGGGGCTGTTTCGGTCACCTTTGTGTCCCATGAAGCCAAACCAAGTCAGTTCCAACTCAGAGCGACCCCATTGGGCAGAGAACTGCCCCAATGTTTGTTTTTTCCTGCGACTGCCTGTGAACTAAAGTGGGAAGCAGGCAGATGTGGGTGTGTGGTGGGTGAAGGAAAACAGTGACTGCTATTTAAAGACCTACTGTGTGACAAGTTGTGCTGGAAACAGCTACATTCAACAAACGCACTAGGGCAGTCAGTTAAACGATGGATATGTAAAGGTAAAGGCCGGCACGCTGTTCTTGCCCCGAGCAGATCGGATAGCAGCGAAAATACAATAAATAAATCGTGCTAAGGGCAGCAATGAGGGATTCGCACGGGGCATCCATGAACAGAGAAGGTCACCCAGTTTGCCCATGGGAGGCAGGGCTAGTGGGGAGTCTTAGCAAGCTGGGGGGAGAGGTGCAGGCGCGGAGTTTTCTGGTCGGAAGGGATGGTACTTGCGAAGGGCCCCCTCCCA